TTGAGATTTGCCTCAGTATAATTTTGCAAAGATGTAGTACATAAAACTAGCACAGAAAATAAAATAAACTGTTGTCCTGGACCTTAGCCAGGTGTGGTATAAGCCTATTACCAGACAATGACTCCACCCTTAAATGATGAAAACTGACTCCTAATATGTATGTGCTTATGTAAAATACATTTAATACATATCCAAGGAGGGACATTAAATCTGAAATCATTTTTGAATCTATGGTACTATAATTAAATCTGGGAAATGAATTTTCCTTTAACCAAAACAATTTCTAATTAAGTTTTAATCTGTTTAAATGAAAAAACATTCTTGTTACTTTGACATTAAAATTGTGCCCAAATATACTTAAAAGGTAGAAACATCTATTTTCAGATATCACTACCTAAAAAAATACTCTAATTATATTTGTTTCTTAATATAAAAGGAAAAAGTTATTCTAAATCATAATACCTTTATATTTTTAGTGTGAGATTCTATCTTCTGTTTGGTAGAAACAAGTTCATTAGATGCCTTTTCCTTAGCATCATTCATGCTGCTTAGCTGATGAAAGAAAATATAAGTAACTTTTTTACATTTTTCAAGGATGGGTAATTCAAAAGCTAATCTTTAGATGCTTTTTATGCAATTACTTAAATACAAGTTTTTGAATAATAATTAAAAGTCTTAAAAACATTATTTCTTTTGGGTAAATGCTATATGGTTTCTGTCACAAGCTTATATTGCTAAAAACAAAAGAAAGCATTCAAGCTTAAACTATCAGTGATGTTATTGTATTTTTCCTACATGTCTGGATAAAAGATTTCATTCTTACTGTAAACAAATATAACTTTATTCTTAAAATCCTACTGGACCAAAATGCCAGAAGCAGTGGCATCTATAAGGAAAGAAAAAAGAACAGAGCAGTAGACTGTTCTTTCTATACATCATGAGGGTATTCGCTGGTCTCTCACTCCATATGACAACTTCAGGGTCGGTCACATGCAGTCCTACTGGGAAGGCTTGTGGCAGGTCATCAGTTGGTCCTGCACCGCTTGTGATTTATTTTCTTTGACAGTTCATTCTTCTTTCTGTCAGACTGCTCTTTTTGCTTTCTTTGCAGCCACCCCCTTGGTCTCCCCACTGCTGTCTCTGGCACTGGTTCACAACAAAGCACATTACTAAGCCAAAGCCTGCTGAGTCGACTTTTCAACTGTGCTGAGGATCATGTGACATTCATCCTCCCAAATAACAATTCGCTGTGGGTAATATGTTCATAGTTACCCTGCAGCTTCCAGACCTAGGCCTCAGAAGAGTTTCATAAACTACTAACAATACGGGTTTGTCTTGTCTCACTGGGAAAGACTTAGCAATATTTATTCTTCATAGAAATTTAATTATTTCAATGGTCACTTTCTTTTATGCCTTTAGAACAATTATGAAGATATTAAGACGACTCACTTTTCCTTCTTTGTTCATCTTAGCAAGCTAAAAGAAAATAAGCCTCATCTGAAATGTGAAATGTAACCGTTTTATGGCCTTTGTAATATATGAAAGAAAGAGATAAACAGAGGATAAACACTAAATTCCATGCTATGTTACTTGTCTTTGGCGCAAGCTGTTTGTTTTGCTAACTAATTGTATTTAATGTAATTACTTCATATGCTAATTTGACAAGATGTAACTAGACAAACTCTTCAATTTTTAAAGCATGAATTCATAAAACATTTTAATACCCAAGAAAATTATCAACTCACATATTAAACAATACAAATGAGATGATAAATAGAAGCATGAGCTTTTTCAATCAGCAAACTAAAAGCTTCCAGGCTACATCAAACAGATATTTGTTTTTTAAAACTCCTAACAACACTTTACTCCCTTTAGAGAATAAAAACTAATTTCTCTCTTTTTATTAAGGCTTCCACAGTTGTAGAAATCCTAACCTATAACACTGACAAAACCTAAATTCCCACTAGCTATTCCAAATGTCATAAAAACACATTAACATTTAAATACAACACATATTAACTTAAATGACTTGCACAGCATTTTCATGAAATTAAAACAGATACATTATGAAGACCAAGAAGTGACAGTCTTTATAACTATGAAAATAATAGTGGGATTGAAGAGTTACAAAACATAAGTGAGACATGACTTTAGGCCACACTTAAAGAAAGAACAGTGACAGACAATTTATTATTTTTTTATATCTGTGAAGCTGTCAGTTCAACATTCCCAATCTTTTTGACCTTTGTAACAAGCAAGAAATACGTACTGGTACAGGCCGAAGGCTATATTTGTGGAGCCAAACAGTGCAAGTGTTACCTCATTAGATGCATCTTCCAGCTTGTTCTGGTAATCTGTCAAGGTACGCCTCAAAGTCTCAAGGACAACAGAGAAGCTGGGAGGTTTATCTTTGTCCTTGTGGATGCCTAGAAAAAAATATAGGATGAAAATATACCCTTAAAGCCACAAAGGGACAAAAGCTAACCAAACAGAAACAGAGATATATTACAATTAGATGGAGCTAAAATGATATTATGAAACATTAAGCAGAATCTTATTCTCCATGTATACTGCTATATGGCCAAGTATTAATAGCCTTTCTAAACAAGTGGCCAAATTAAAGTTCATAATATATCAAGTTCAAATTTATGGCTACTTGCTAGTAATATTTTTTAATATCTCCTAAGTACTACAGTGTTTGTACATACCTGTTATCCAACAATTAAATAAAGGTATACTCTACACTAACATTGTTTTGAGGAGTTATACACACTTATTTTGGCCCTTGTGTTTCTGATCAGTCAGGCCTTTTATGATGTATATTTTGCTTAAATAATAATTTCTGAACCCAAGAGAATATAATTTTCTGTTATACTTGGACATATTCTTCAATCCTTAAAATTCTCAAGTTACAAGATGAAATAAACAATAAAATGCTATTATCTACATAGCCTACATCATGTTTCAATTAAAACCTCAAAACTGATACTCACTGAAAAAATATGAGCACTTCCGTATTATGCCCTCAAACTACTTAAATATAGATGGGCCATAAATTAAGTTAGTTGAGCTAATCAAGCTCACATGATCAAATGTAGTTCCAAATATTAACCCAAAATAATAAAAAATAGAATTTCAAAAACCACTTTAAGTTGATTGATTACTACACTATTCTTTAAGTGCTACAAAATGAGTAGCAATTTTAGTTTTAAAACATTCATATTAGGCCGGGCACGGTGGCTCACGCCTGTAATCCTAGCACTCTGGGAGGCCCACGCAGAAGGATGGTTCAAGGTCAGGAGTTCGAAACCAGCCTGAGCAAGAGCAAGATCCCATCTCTACTAAAAATAGAAAGAAATTAATTGGCCAACTAAAAATATATAGAAAAAATTAGCCAGGCATGGTGGCGCATGCCTGTAGTCCCAGCAACTCAGGAGGCTGAGGCAGGATTGCTTGAGCCCAGGAGTTTGAGGTTGCTGTGAGCTAGGCTGACGCCATGGCACTCTAGCCCTGGCAACAGTATAAGACTCTGTCTCAAAAAAAAAAATTCATATTAAAAATATCTTTCTTTTCCAATTATAAGTTCTCCTCATATTTTATAATCTAAATATTTCAATATACAAGAAAAAATTTTCAACAAAGATAATTTTTAAAAGAAGCATTCATAATGTATTTCCTATTATTCATGCTTCATTAATTCAACTAACTTATTGAATTTCTTCCATATACTAATCTTAGGCTTTAGGCATACTGAGATAAATAAGATTGGTGTAGCCTCTATCCTTATAGAATTTACATTCTAATAAGAGGGTGAGAGATAGTAAATAAATAATTACATGAGATCATTCATTCATTCCTCAAATATTCAATTACTGAAACTTGTGGATGAGAGAAGACAGTAATAAGGGAAAGGAAGAAGGAAATGGAAAAAATTCCTAGTTAATGACAGAACTTTATTCACCTCAGCATACTGGTGATTTTTAGTGTTTTAATCTTGGGAAAAATGCTATTAATAAGTTTATGACATTTATCAAGGCATAATTTAAACACCAACTTAAGTATGGGTACAACTTAGATTTTCTTAAACACAAGAAGAATATTTAACCTCAAAACCAATATGAAAATAATACATATCCTAGCTAGGAAAAAAAATACACTGCTCTGAGTCATGATAATAGAGGAGACAGTACTCTTTGTAATGACTATGAGTTGGAAAGACAACTCATTAAAAATTTTATTAAAGGTCTTACCAATATATTTTTTTTAAATTTTTCTCTTGCACAAGATAAAAAATGTAATGTATAATTCTTTTCTTTTGCTACTACACAAGTAGGCCATGAATAAATCATTCAAGGACACTCGGGAAATCTGCGTTTTTACAATAAGGGAGAAAACTTCCTTTTAGAAATTCAGAAGAATCAAATCATCTAAATATGAGTGCTGAGGAGTAAGGGGACAAAATGCCCTCTCCTACTGACCCATCCGTATTCTTATATTCTACATAAAATAAAGTTTTCTTGCCTGAAAATGTTTAAACAATAAAGTTCAGTTGAAGTACAAAGTATCTCTGCTATGGTTTGAATGTGTTCCCCAAAGTTCATGTATTAGAAACTTAATCCCCAAAGCAACAGTTTTGAGAAGTGGGATCTTTAAGAGGTGATTAGGTCATGAGAGCTCTGCCCTATGAACGGATTAATGTCATCACGAGAGTGGGTTCATTATCTCCGGTGTGGGCTTGGTAGAAAAATCAGTTTGGCCCCCACTTGCTCTCTTACGCTCTTAACCTTCTAACTTCCACTATGGGATGATACAGCATGAGATCCCTTGCCAGATGTGAGCCCCTCAATCTCAGATGCCCCAGCCTCTAGAACTGTAAGAAATAAATCTCTTTTCTTTATAAGTTGTTCAACTTCAAGCTATTCTGTTACAGCAGCATAAAATGAGCTACAACAATGTCTCACCCACATTCATTATAAAAAGAAACTTACTGGCCCTTTAACATGACCAGTAAGTATTAATGCTTACAAATGAAAAGAAAGGGTCACTCTGGAACAAGGACCCTAATAAGTGATTTGATTTAAACTAATCTGTACTATGGCCTGATTAGATTATTGAAGCTAATAAAAGCACAATGGATTATTAAAGCTATTCTATCAGAGGAAAGTTAAAAACTCATAGATAGATAAGATATGAACAGTGGTCATAATTAGCTTTTTCCAAAGCCAAATTTAAAAAAAAAAAGTCAAATTCCAAATGAAGAACAGAATACATTAGGAACACTTTATACTACAGTAACATCAACTCAAAATCTTCTGAGGTTCTCTCTCCCTCTCCCTATACATATGTGTCTCTCTACACGGGTGCCAATCTATACTTTCACATCACCACTTCCTGTCTCCCTATCTCAATCTCTTCCTCTCACTTTTAAGTAGATTTCAACCCTGGCTGTACTTCAGCAAATCTTTTCTTGAATTAGTACCCCACAGGAGGGTGTGGAGTAGAAAAAAAGGTTCCAAGCACTCTATTTATTAATAAATGTTTCCTTTTAGACAATCTCAAAAACTAAATGTTTTTTCATGACTCATAAATCACTGTATTTCAAACTGGTGTTATTACCTCAATAGTTCCACAGTAAAAACAGTAAGTTGTAATGAATAAGGTAAATCTATCTCCTCTACTTTTTCAACCATCTTTTTCCTCTTATCTATTTTAGTTTCCTGCAAGACCTCAAAAGGGATGAATTAGTAAGAAATAATGAAGAGAGAATATAAGACAAAAGACTGAGTTTTTTTAAGCTATCTATATAGAACATGAGCAGTCACATTCATCCTCAGAACAGAACTCTGTTGTTCAATGTTTATTTTTGACCATGTATAATAGTAGAAAACATGAAACAATATTCCAATGACTTTTATTTTCACCTGATAAAATCCAAACACTTAATATATAATGTATTGATAACTAAGAAAATTCCTTTTTCATTCTAAAAGCACTAAACATAAACATATTCTGTTGGCAGTTATACTTTTCAAACTCAGACTACATTCTGTATATTAACTTGTCTAAGTCACCAAGGTTATAAACAAACATCTTCATTATCTTACAAGCATTGGTTCCCATTTTGGAAAGTATTTAAGGAAAATGGCTCATAACTTTTCTAACATATGGAAAGTATTTACCATGTTAAGTCCTATATTACTGAGGGAAGCCCCAGCCTCCCTGATGAGCTCTATTTGGCTTGATAAGCTCCATGAGACTAGAAGGCCAAGAATAACTGTAGGAAATGGTGCCATCAAACTGGATTCCCTGAATTTGATGGGAGTGATGGGATCTCGGTTACACAGACCAAGTGGGAGCCATTAACTTCCAGAAACAAAGTGGACATGGTTACCATAATGGGCAGTGGAGTCAAAGCAATAAACAAAATGGTTTGGCCTGTAGAAATCACTGGCCTTAGCTAACTGATCATGATGTTCCTAGAATTAAAATAGATGGGTAGTCACTTAAATCTTATCCAATTCGTATAAGTAGGAAAGTTCTAGGTCTGATTATCAAGAGTAGAACTTAAATCAACACAAAAGAGAGTAATAGCCCTCAACCACTTCTTAAAGTTGAGCTAGTTCATAGACTCAGTCTCTCTTAATAAAAAGGATAGGTCTCCTTTAGGTACCCTGACATATTGCCAAAAATTATACTGTAAATCTTCCTCCTACCCTTACTCAAAGAAACATGAGACAATTTACCAGGGTTACTATGCACTGGGAAAGGGAAATTAACCACATTTATCAGGGATAACTGGACATTGGATTTGAATTCACACTAATTCAGGGAGACCTAAAATGCTATTGTGATTCAATAGTCATAGTAGGAGCTTACAGAGGTCAGGCAATCAACTAAGATCTCTATCCAGTGGGTCCAATAGTTACCTGAACCCACCTATAGTTATTTCCCCAGTTTGGAATGCATAGTTAGAAAAGACGAATGCAATAGCTGGTACAATGTCCACATTGGTTAGCTGAGCCATGGAGTGAGGGATATTATAATACAAAGGAAAACCAAGCAGAAAAAGCCAAGAGAAAATCACTAGAACTTTTACCTACCAAAATAGTAATCAAAAGTAATGCCACACTCCTGAAAAGATTGTAGAGACTAATGCTTCTTTAAAGGATTAAAAGAAAAATAAAATACCTAGAAATATATTTAACCAAAGAGATGAAAGATCTCTACAAGGAAAACCACAAAACACTGAAGAAGGAAATTATAGATGACACAAACAAGTGAAAAAACACCCCATGCTCATGGATCAGAAAAATTAGTATCGTTAAAATGACCATACTACCCAAAGCAATCTACAGATTCAATAAAACCTCTATCAAAAGATCAATGTCATTTTTCACAGAATTAGAAAAAAAAATCCTAAAATTCATATGGAACCAAAAAAGAGCCTGAATAAACAAAGCAATCCCAAGCAAAAACAACAAAGCTAGAAGTATCACATTACTTGACCTGAAGTTATACTACAAGGGTATAGTAACCAAAACAGCGTAGCACTGGCATAAAAATAGACAAATGGATCAATAGCACAGAATAGAGAACTCAGAAATAAAGCCACATGTCTACAGTCAACTGATCTTTGACAAAGTTAACAAAAAAATACACTGGGAAAAGGACACCTTTTTAGTAAATCACCCTGGGAAAACTGAATAGTCATACAGAAGAATGAAATTGGGCTCCTATCTCTCACCATATACAAAAATCAACTCAAAATGGATTAAAGATTTAAATTTAAGACCTGAAACCATAAAAACACTAGAAGAAAACCTAGGGAAAACTTCCGGACATTGGTTTAAGCAAGGAATTCATGACTAGGACCTCAAAAGCACAGGCAATAAAAATGAAAACAGACAAATGGAACTCAAACTAAAAAGCTTCTTCACAACAAAAGAAATAATCAACAGAGTGAACAAAGAACCTACAGAATGAGAGAAAATATTTGCAAACTATACATCCAACAGGAGACTGATATCCAGAATTTACATGGAACTCAAACAACTCAACAATAACAAAAAAATCCAAATAACCCCATTAAAAAGTGGCCAGAGCACATGAATAGACATTTCTCAAAAGAAGACATACAAACTGTCAACAAGATATGAAAAAAATGTTCAATATCAATAATCATCAGAGAAATGCAAATAAAAACCACAGTGAGATATCATCTTACACTCATCAGAATAGCAATTAAAAAGTGGAAAAATAGGCCAGGCACAGTGGCACACACCTGTAATCCCAGCACTTTGGAAGGCCAAGGCAGGAGGGTTGCTTGAGGCCACGAGTTTGAAACCAGCCTGGGCAACATAGTGAGACTCTGTCTCTACAAAAAAAAAAAAAAAATTTTTTTTAAATTAGCTAGGTGTAGTAGCATGTGCCTGTAGTCTTGGCTACTTGGGAGACTGAAGTGGAAGGATTGCTTGAGCCCAGGAGTTCAAGGTTGCAGTGAGCTATGATCACACTACTGCACTCCAGCCTGAGCAACAGAGAGAGACCATGTCTCATAAAAAAAAAAAAAAAAAAGTGAAAACATAACATATTGGCAAGGTTGCAGAGAAAAGGGTATGCTTATACACTGTTGGTGGGAATGTTTATTAGCACAACCTCTATGGAAAACAGTATGAAGATTTTGCAAAGAAAATAGAACTACCATTTAAATCCAGCAATTCTGCTACTGGGTATTTACCCAAAGGAACAGAAATCATTATATAAAAAAGATACTTGCACTCATATGTCTATCACAGCACTATTCATGATAGCAAAGATATGGAATCAACCTAAGTGTCCATCAATGGATGACTGAATAAAGAAAATGTGATGTATATATGTACATATACACACAATCATATATAAGATATACAATCAATTACTGGATGAATTTGAAGGAAAAGATCATAGGAGGATTTTGTTTTAAAAAAAAAACTTTTATTGAGGTTTTACTTGGTAGAAAAAAAATATATGTTCATTATTCAGATTTTTGTTCTTCTTATAGGTGACATTGTGCTTTTCCCTTATGGTTATAATTTTAAAATTTTTCAGAATATATTTAAATAGAGGTCTTATCTGGTTATTTTCTCCTCAAAAACAATGATCCTATCCTGCATGCTAGAATCTTTTTTATCTCAAAGAAATACTTTAAAATTATGTCTTGCATTATTACATCAGTTTCATTTATTCTGGACTCTGTCTTAGATATACCATCTTTACATTGGTACTCCATATTATCATCTTTTCCCTTTCTTTCCTTAATTTACCTTTGTTTTAACACTTCGTTATTTTCCTCTGCATTTTATCTGTGTTCTTTTTCTCTATATTTTGTCCTCCAATTTACCAATCTCATTTTGCGCAGTGTCAATTCTGTCATAGCTTCTCACAAATTTTAAATCTACTATCCTATTTTTAGTTTCCTTAGAATTCTTCCTTCTCTTACTTTTTGACCTTTTAATCTTATGTTGAGTTTTCTATTTCAGCCTATTCTCTCCTTATGAATCCCATTTGATAAACATAATTTCTTTTTTGCATCTGAATTTTATTCTGATTTCCACATTAAACCATTTCACCACTTCGTTCTAAGTATTTCAGATACTGTTCCTTTCTCCTTGTTTTGTGATGTTTAGTTTTTCACAAGTTCTATTTAGATAGTTTTCAAAGCATCTAAAGATTGGGAGTATCATCTTCCAATCTACTGCCTAAACTTCTGGCCACTCTATGAGATAGATTAAAGGGGAAATTTTATCTCTAGTATGAACTGCTACCAAGGTGCTTTCTTTCCTGATCCCTATAAGGAATGCAAAGGAGACTTCTTGGAACTTTACCTTTAGTCCCTGGGTCATTCCTGGCTGGCTGTATTCTGGGAGTTACAAGGAGATGGGATAGGAGCTTAGAGAAAAGATGAGGAAAATACTCTACCTCAGAAGTAGCACTCACATAGTAGAAAGATAGTTTCCCGATTTTAG